GACGACGACGAGAGAGAGAGAGAGAGAGAGAGAGAGAGAAATTTATCATTTTCTCTTTTTCTCGAGATGTTAAAGATTTCCGAGTGTATGATATTTGAACATGGAGGGTGCTTGTAGGCTAGTATCGGCCAGTCTTGTGGAATTTTGATGAGGTTCAGGGAAGATAATTAGTAGAAGATAAATGGTCATATTTATTGAATTTTGTTTTGTTAATAGGTAAATATATTATGGTTTGCTTTAAGACATGGTTGAGATTGTCTTGATTATTCTGATTTCAAAATATGAAAGAGAAGTCAAAATATACATCGAGTCTCCACATCTTGTTAAGTATTTTGCTTGGGGCTTTATCTAGAGTATAACCATCTTAATTTTTTCTTAGGACATAGAAGGTTCAAGTTTTTTAAGATTTTGAAAATGCATATCCCATGGTTGTCTCTGAGGGAGAAATGGTTATTAGGTGTCAATAGCATGCTCACGCCGTCTCTCCACACTAAAAAAACCTTAGGAGATTTTTTTCTTTAGTGGAAATTTGCAAATAATCTTAGATTTACCTTCTTGAAAAAGAAAAGCAAAAGGGATTTCAAGCTCATGAAAGTCAATATTCGATCGGCCATCGAATGGTCTAGAGTCAGAGAAATAGGCTTTTCTTTGGAGCATCATTGGGGGGGGGCTTCAAGTCATTTTCCTTTTCTAGATTAATCATAGAGATAAATAAAAATGATTTCAAAGTTCTAGGGCGAATCGGATCCCTTTATTTAAATGTTTGCCATGTTGAAGGAGTTTAGTTACCATCCGCCACAAAGAGAATGTGTAATAAAACTGAAAAGGTCGCAATCACCTGGCCGTCTGATGTGAAATAAGATGGCCATGTGGTTCAAGATGTACGATTGATTGATTATGCTTGAAGTCCAAGAGATTTCTCTCAAACATCGTATGACAGCTTTGAGTGCTTGTAACTTTTTTGTATAGGTAGGTTTCATTGTATACAATACGGGTTGTTTTATTTTATATTGGAAAATTGTTTTATGCGGGCTGTCTGAAATGTTTTTTTAATAGAATTTTTATTTTTATTTTAAAAATTTATTTATTTTTTCGAATTCATCATCTCCATGTTAGAGTTTACATATCTTTAAAAATTAAGTCCCTAAATACATCTCAAAAATACATGTCTTTAAAAATTAAGTCCGTAAATATATCTCAAAAATAGATTTTTAAGATATTCAATTCTACATCTCAAAAATAATTAAGTCCATAAATCCATTGTCCGAACCGGAAAGAAGAAATTGTCTCCAAACCCGAAAGAGAAACCGTGTGATTTTATATTTGATTCTCTTTATATATGATCCTCTTTATATACAAAACTGACAACCACCATGCAGGTCACTAATACATTGTCAAAAATACTAAAGCCCACTAGCAAATACATTGTCAAAAATCCACCGTTCCATGATTTTGGATGACTATTCCATCTCATGAAAGTATAGTAAGAAATAAGTGACAAAATCCACCGTTCCATGATTTTGGTTGACGATTCCATCTAATGAAAGTACAGTAAGAAATAACTGACAAAATCCACCGTTCCATGATTTTGGATAACTATTCCATCTAATGAAAGGATAGTAAGAAACAACTATTTCATCTAATGAAAGGATAGCAAGAAGGGAGTTAGAACTGATCCCATCTAATGAAATGACCATCCCATTTGATGAAAGGACAACAAGAAACGGGAGTTAGAACTCTAATGAAATGACTATCCCATTTAATGAAAGGACAACAAGAAATCTTGTATTATCAGAGCAATTGGTTTTGGATAACTATTTTGAGAAATCTAATGAAAGGACTATCCCATCTAATGAACGGACAGAAATCTTGTATTAACAGAGCAATTGGTTTTGGACAACTTTTTTGAGAAATCTAATGAAAGGACTATCCCATCTAATGAAAGGACAACAAGAAATACGTCAGAAATCTTATATTAACAGAGCAATTGGTTTGGATAACTATTTTGAGAAATATTATTGTTTGGGATCCATCACAACTCGAGTCAGAAATCTTGCACTAACAGAGCAATTGAAATTGTCAGTCTTTAACACAGTGGAATGGCTTTTCTGATTGAAATTGTCGGTACAGTCGAATGGCTTTTCTGGTTTTCTTCACAATCGTGTATAAGTGGAGTTTCAAGGTGGGTTCGACGGCATTTGTGGAGGGAGACAATGTATCAAATTTTTTTTCGAAAGAAGGGGCGGCAAAGTGAGAGTGGCTGTATTCAGAGGAGCAAGAAAGCCAGGCAAATGAACCAGAGGCTAAAGCCGTGCCCCGAGACCTAAAAGTTCTAGTGGATTACCCAAAAAGTTCTAGTGGATTGGCAGTGTCAAAAGGAGATTCATATAATGCAATGAATTGGTGTAAGGGTGTTCAAGGACTGCATAGCATTTGATTCGCATCTTAGATGAGATCAGTCATCAGTGACACTGTCACAAAAAAAATGAAACACTTCGCAAGCATTTATTGAAAGAAGAATTTAGAGGCAGATACATTTGTGGCTAAGACTTTGGTTGTTGATAAATTTTAAGTGTACCATTTTCTATTGACAATATTTTGTATAGATCAAACATCAATTTTGAGGTGATTAGCAAAAAAAACTCCAATCTAAATTCAACAAACTAAATGATCAGAGAAGCAAGGAGAGATGAAAGGCATGCTGTAAGACAATTTACTTTTTAGTACACGGAAGTTAATATTGATTATTGGATATGAAATTGGCAGTTAGGGGTTTGATAATCGACTGCTCACAAAGTCTAATGCTTTTTAAGAACTTTGTGACTTCCCCTAGCTGTATATTATGTATTTAGAATTTAAGATCTACTTTTAAATGAGTAATTTAAAAAGAAATAAATTGAAATTTAAGTTTTTATTGGTATCTTGTGTTGAGGGATCATATATCCAAAGGAACATATTATCCATTCGTATTTTATATTATGAATATTAGTTCTTTGAGTTAATATTAGTTCAATTTTTGAAAGGCTATATCTAAATATTATAAAACTTAAAATTCAATTTTTTTATTTATAAAATAACCATCCACCAACTATTATGTGTTTTCCGAAATTTTATACTAAAAAATTCTACTATGTGTTTCAAGACATTGAGCATAGTATATGCACTCAAAAACAATTTTCATACCAGAACATGGTCGAACCACGCGCGTCCTAACTTTTATATATATATATATATATCTATATATATATAGTTACAAAAAAACCCCGCGACTTAACGTTTTTTACATTCTCCCCCAACCATTTTTTATCATAGCTTTTATCTTTAAAACTAATTTTTATAGCAAACACCCACGTCAAAAATAATAGTTTGAAGGACAAAAATACCCTAATCTAGAACTCAAACCAAAAGATGTCAGACCGCCTTTTAAAAAACGAAATACCAGGGTGGGATGGTGGCATTTTTGTGCCAGACCAAGATGCCATTGTACCGGGATATCTTATCCGTCTCTCTAAAAAATGAATATCTCCATAAAATATTTTCAATTCATGCTTCTTTTTTTTGTTTTTTTTCTCCACTCGGATCAAGCTGCCTACTTGACTTCTTATATTCATTTCTCCACTCGGACAAAGCCGCCTACTTGACTTCTTATATTCAAAGTGATTCGAGTATCTATTCCAATGATATTATTATTACCGAGGACCGCTACTACCAAACCGCTTAATCTGTGTCAGATACTATTATTACCTAAGACCTCTACTGCCAAACCGCTTAGTCTATAATTTTTCTAAAATATTAGAACAAATTAGGGAGAGAGAGGTGCTCAAATTAAGGTTCCTTTTGATGGGTTTTCATTACATCCGGTTTCTTGGCGTTAAGACGATGCCGTTTGGGTGGTTTCTTGGCGCTAATACGTTGAAGGTCACTGTTGCCAGAAGTTTGGGTGCAATTAGTCCCTGAAGTTTCGCCTGGATAATTCTCATAGCCATGATGGGCTGCTTCTTCTCCGCTTCTAAGTTTTGCATTAGAAATAGAGTCCTCCTTCACCCGTATTTCTCTCTCTTCCAAACTCGATCATCTTTCTCTCTCTTCAAATTCTTCCCTCGCCCTCTTTCTACCTTCTTCTGATAACCTCCCCCTCTCTCTACCTTCTTCTGGTAAATCCAATGCTCTCACGTTCCAACCCTGAACCTGATAACTTCAAAGAGTAAGTAAGATAGAAACATAAAAAGGTATGCAATCCCTCAATAAATCAAATTCATATCCTCTCTCTCTCTCTCTCTAAAATCTAAGGATTCTCAGCTGACAATGCAGTCCATCTTACTCTACAATGTCCTCAAAATATATAACGCAATGACTTCTAAAGGACTAGATTAGAATATCTTAAGAGAAAATAATCCTAACAATCAAATTAGAACCCACATCAAAAAATTCACTACAAGCTATTGTTTTGATGCTCAAATATCCTCAAATTGATCATATATCAAGAGGCATGATCATGAGAAAAAAATGGATTTCAAGTTTTGAAAATAATGCATATTGTACAGAACGTCATTTTTCAAGACTTTCAATTTTTCATAGATCTGCTTGATCGAATAACTATTTTGAAGCTTAAATTTAAAATTTTTATATGTAAATATCAAAATATATTTTTTAGGAAATAGTAATTCTCTCTCTCATGAAAAATTGATAGAAAGCACACACAAAACAAAAAAGAGAAAAACGCAATAAACTAATAAAGATCCCTGATCAATAAATTTAGCATATGAAGGGTAAAAAAATAAGAAAAATAATAAAAAGAGGAATTAAATGCGAAACACAATAAACTAATAAAGATCCCTGATCAAGAAATTTAGCATATGAAGGGTAAAAAAATAAGAAAAATAATAAAAAGAGGAATTAAATTGAAACACAAAAAACTAATAAAGATCCCTGATCAAGAAATTTAGCAAATGAAGGGTAAAAAAATAAGAAAAAGATGAATTAAATGCCAAGGAAACCAGCCTTGTGCATAAGATTTGAAAAAATATGGACCTTTATGTATTTTCCCATTAATGTTTTGTGTCCTTATGTAAAATTTTCTAAAATAATTATTATGAGAGAGAGAGTTTTCATATGAATATGTCTCTATTAAGAGAGAGAGAGAGAGAGATTTCATAACAAAGAAAGAGAAAGAAGCTCACGAATATTTTTTCTGATGTCCGGCATTCATGTCACTTGGTTTCTTGCCGCTGAACATCCCCA